ATAATCTCTTTAATTTAAGAAAAATGTGTCGTAAAAAGAAGTTGTGTCGTAAAAAGAAGTTAGGTCTGGATTAAGGTAGTAAATAAATGTACTTTTTGGGTGAGTTTTATAGTAGTATTTTTTTTAATGAAGAATTATAAAGGAAATAAACATAATTCACATACGTTGTGTCTGGTTAACAACTTCCTCAGATCAAATCTAAATTTTTTTTAGTGTCCCTATGTATTAGTTTATGTGGCCCACTTCACTTAATTTGCCTTGTGAATGTAAATATCTATCAAACTATTGTCTTTGTTTCTTCAGTTACATAACTTTGTTATCGTGTTAGAAATTTAAATATCCACAACTGAAAAGAACGTTGACAATTTTATAGATCGCAACGTAAGTTACGTAAAGAATAACTTACATATTCCACAAATATTCATGATAAATATTTTTATCATACTGTAATTATGGTAGAAAATTTTCATTTTTAATACATAGAATCACTTTATTTACACGGTGCTTTTGACTTGTTAGAAACAAGTGGCCATGCTGAAAAAGTAATCACCTTTTAAGACTGCCACATTTTCAATGGTTTTGCAATACACAAAACGTCGTGTTGTTTTTTGACGTAATGCTCTAAATTGTTTAGTCTTTGACTGTTCAAGGGACAAGGATCAAATCCTTTTCTCTTAGTTGAGAGCTCGCTTGCTCTGCCGGTAAAAGAGATTATAAGAACAAAACTTTTTATTGAATAAAATATAAATTGTTTTGTAATTCGTTTCTGACAAAATTATTTTAGACCATTTTTTGGTAAGTTTTTAGGTGAAAAACGTTTGTCGGAATAACCATGATTTATCATGACGTGTTGCTAATGAGTTTCAAATACGGTAAATTGCTTTAGACACAGTAACATGGTTAAATTGATGTAGCGCAATCTTTAGTCGTGTCTGGAGACCACTAATGAAATAAATAAAAAACTTGTTGGTTCTCTGTTTCTTGCAAATTAGCACGAGCTATCATATGAA